ATTCCTCAGCCTCCTGATTGGCCTAGCAAAGAATAGGATCCACAAGGGAATTGTCCCAGTTTCCATGTTGCTTGTGAGCACCAGGTACACTGAACACAGTATTTCTAAATGCCTTAATTTGGATGTACTTAAGTAGGTTAAATAGCAACAACTGGAACTGGCTGCATTTATCTTTCAGATGCTGCTCCCTCCCTCCCAGGGCTTCTGCGAGGATAAAACTGGGAAGGGTGGAAGAAAACCAGCTATACTACCTTGAACCCCATGGAGGGAAGATGAAATATAAATTGAATAAATGCATGAAATGAAAAGAGGCATTGGTCAGAGCTAGCTTCATTTCATAAAGAGTATACGATAATGACTTTAAGAAGAGACCACAAAAAAGCACAGAGAAAGGAAGAAGGGTACCCGGCAATAGAAGAAAAGCTCTAGTCTAGGAAGTTGAGACTGTGACCTGATCAAATAACCCTCTTTCAAATTAAGAACAGGACTTCTTGCCCACCCCTGTTCAATTCCTCCTGTTGTTCTGTCCATATGCTTCACTTTGTTACGTTCAACAAAGTGAAGCATAATTTCCATGGGACTATTTATTAAGTATGTGCATGCAGGTTTCACCTTCAAGTGCACTTGATGGATTTTGTGAATGCTGCGCTTAAACACACACAGGACAAACCTGGCAAGTAAGGGAGACACTGGTTGCTGTGCAGTGCGTGATACAAACACGGGCAAAGCTCCCCTTCATATGGTGAGATCTTATGGGTCCAGATGGATGGCTCCTTTGGTTGTTACCAGTCAGGATATCTTGCACAGCTATTCCATCTTTCTGATTTAATGGATTTTCAGTAGTAAGAGAAAAGATGGAAGAAGCAGTGGGAAAACATGGGAGGGGCACTCATAGAGGCTGATGTCATCTAGTAAAATTCGGTGAATGAACGAGGCAGGGCGACTTCACCATAAATGTCTTTCTTGGAAACAGCCTCTGTCACAGCAGTCCCTTGGCCCACTTCTTCCACCGTCCAGTCTCGATTCGTTTCAGAAGGAATGACAGTGCCCACCAGCACTGAGAAGTGTCTGGATAGTACTTTGCCTTAGAACAAAACTTTAACTTTGATAGGCCTTACAGCACAGACATGTCAGCCTTCTGTGCCGCAACCTGTAACTAAGGCATAACACTTCAAGAGCAGCTTCATTGGCCAAGAAAAACTCCAATCCACTTTCCAACGGTCATGTTTCTGGCCTTTCAGACACTATTGGGTGTTTCACTGTTATGCCGCAGGTTCTTCCAGATGGAGTGCAACTTTCAAAAGGCATTATGCAGCTATTCCATTTTTTCTTCATTAACTGATTTCTCCCACAAAGCAGTAAGAAACACAGGATGGCTCCGAACAGAATAAAAGGCACCCTTTCAACCCCCTGCAAAATTCTGTGCATGACCGCACAAGAAAGCCCTTGTCCGGAAGCACCCTGGAAGCCAGCTTTCAGAAAGGCATGAGTGATGCAGCCTTCTGCTGGAGACCCTTCCTCATGCTGCAGGGTTTATCATTGCATCCCAGCTAGAAGCAAGGCAAACCACCCCCCACCCCCCCACACCCCCAGCTGCTACAGAGCCATGCTGCTGGCAGGGTGTTTCCACTTTGCTCAACTTGTTCTTATTTATCATCATGCAAAGCTTAGTTGCCATGCAACAGGTGCACATTCACACGACTTCTGATCAGCCGGATTTCCTCTGTGATAATGTGCACATGTAAATTACCCCAAGGCCAAGTAGAAGCAAATTGGCTAGGTGTCACTGGCTAGATTGTCCCTACATGCCAAGTAAAAGTGGCCCTACTTACTGTTGACACGGGATTAAGGAGGCGGGACAACATGGGCTGGCACCTTTGAATATTTTTTCCAACCTTTTCTCAAAGACAGAGCAACCTGGCTCTCACGATCACACTACACATATATGCACGGAAACCTAACTGCAAAGCCAGAGCACCCTCTTGTGGTCTATTTACAAGCCATGCTTGGTGAGAAATGCAACCTTGGTGTTAGTCCAAGGCTTTCTCCAAGTTGCTTGGAATAGCTGACCTATTTTACTCTCAGTCCATGAGATAGTTTAGGCTGAGAGGGGGCAGGGGGGACCCCACACACACCTTGCTAAAGCTTCCAGTTCAAGACCTACATTCCGCAGCCTCAGGGCAGCAGGGTGACGCAACCTGCCTTAGGCAGCACCATGAAACTGAGGTGGGCGAAAGCAGGAACTGTTCTCTGATTGGTACAGCAAGACTTTTAAAGATGATGGTCCTGTGTCTTAAGTAATGAAACTAAGCGGAGAGACTCAGGATCTAGTAAGGGAACAGGAAGTATTGGAATACAAGGTTTGTGGAAGGCCTCTCACTTACTGCAGCTTGCCAAGAGCAGATGGACTGAGCACACCTACAGCTGAATGAAAACATTGGGCAGGTTCACACATAATGACAAGCAACAGTGGAAACGTAGGAGCATGACTTGTTGTATGTGACCCCAGCAAGTATGGTGAAGCAGGGCACATCTGGTTTCTGAGGAACCATACAGAAAAAAAACGCATGCTCTAAGGTTTGCATGCTTTACTATGATTGTTTTGTAATCTGAGCCCCAAGTTTCCATGTTCTCACCACACAATTCTGTAGCAGGAGCAGCTGCGGCTGCAGGAGACATTCCCATCCGTGCTTGGCGCAATCCAAATCTGCCTGGCAACTGTTGAGTTGCAGGCTGCAGCATTCTGATTGGCTACCCTACACTGCCTTTCTACCTTGTGAGCACACAGCTTTCAGGTGCCCCTCAGTGGCAACAGGATCTTGCCAGCAGCAGGGCATCCAGGCATGCTGCCCCCAGTAGTAACGGCCAGAAAGAAAGGCATGCTTGGCACCCCAGGCTGAACTTTACTGGAGTGGTACCTTGAAATGGCTGTTTGTGCTACTCGGGGAGCCAGCAGTCTGTCCCCCCCGCCCCGTGAAAGCTGCCTGCACTTGAGGAGCACACAGGCAGTGTGCTCCACCATCAGGGCAATCGCAATGAGGAGCCCATGTCTCCTGCTCTGACTCCCACCCTCCCCTTCTCTCCTATCTTAACCCTGGCATTCCCAAAGACTCTCAATAAGACCTGCCTTGCACCCCCACCCCAGCTGAACAACAAGCCTGCTAGAAAACTTTCCTAGGAATACACCCATGTGGGTACCCTTGGGAAAGTCTGCCCGGAAGGACACGCAGCCTCCGTCTCATGCATGGGTGCCCATGCCTGGCTGCATCTGCACATGTGGCCCATTTGCATTGGCTGCCTGGATGCTTCGGGTCTCAATTCAAGGTGCTGATTTTAACCTATGAAGCCTTGGCCTCTTCCAACTGCAATCTACTTGGACACTACACTCAACTTCTGACACCTTTTTCTAAGTGCCAACTCCAAGGGGAACACCGAGGATGGCAACAAGAGGAGGGTTTTCTCTGAGATAGCCCCCTACTTATGGAACAGCCTCCCCACTGTGGCCCAACTAGTACCAGATTTATCATATTTTCAGTGTCAAATTAAGAGAACCCTTTATGCCAAGGCTTTTCAAGACATATCTGGATATCCAGGGGTTTGAAGGGATTGCCTATCCCAGATGTTTTACCAAGTCTTTCTTTGTTATCATTTGGCTTTAGACTGTAGCCTCCATGTTGATGTTAAAACATTTACATGCATGAACACGGGAGGCAAGAAGTGCCCACCCATCCCGGGATTTAATTTCTAGGTGAGCTCTGAAGAATGATCAGTGCAATTCATTCTTGTCGCTTTTTAACAAGTGGCTCTTTCCAGTGTTAGCTCCACAACTCAATGCAACCCCACAAACAAATGCAGGACAAAACAGGAACAGGGATTTTCCGGTGACTGGAAAATAAGAGATGCGACTGCCCGCTGTCACACCGAAATCCTGCAATTAAGGCTCAGATGATCAGTTTCTTGCTAGGGCAATTAGGTTTATTTACAATCAAACACCTGGATCCATGGGTGCCCAAGACAGGAACACCCAATGCTAATTCCATTAGGGTTATATAGAATACACAAAAGGGGAGTGAATACAATACACAGGAAGGTGATTAGATACTTTGATATGGATAGGAAAGTGATTGGATACACGGCACAGCATCATAAAGAAAAGCTTCCATTTGACTCTAATTAGATACCTTTGACAGGCCTTCTAGTTTAAAGTTGCCTTAAACAGGCTGGGCAAGTTAAGTAAATAGAAAGGTTACATGTGTGAACTTACAGGGTTAGGGAGGCACTCTGGCAAGCCTATAAAACACAGAGATTACACTTTGGCAGCTACCAGCAAATGAAGTGGGCTGTTTGTTCTTCACCACCAGACACTGAGGCATCTTTTGATGTGTTTATTGATGTATTTAGGCCGGGCAGAGGGGCAGGATGGCAAAATTTGTTTTTCTGAATACACCACCACAGACGGCGGGCACTGTGGGGTTACTGCTCCGTAAACACGGGCAGGTTCCAGCTCTGTACCAGGTCGCAGTCCTAGGTACATTTCGACAAACAAAAGTCCTACAACTCCCAGCAGACCTCGCTGGGTCACGCTGAGAGTCGTGGGATTTCATTTAATTTCATTTCATTTTAGTCCCAGCCCAAAGGAGGAGCTTTCCCGTTTTCCTAAGCCTCGTGACAAACAACACCTCCCTGCGAGGTTCTCGTCCCATTGTTAGATAAAATCCCTCTCGGCCTTGATCACGCGCTTGCGTGCAAACACCCTTCCCACCCGCACCCGGACGGGCAAACCTCCTACAAGTCCCAGAAGGTTTCGCGGCTGCTTCCCCTTCCGAACGGAGCCGGCCTAGCGGCTCGGGCCATAAAGCACCCTGGGAAGGAAAGTTCCTTTCAACTGGGCAGCAGAAGCCTCTGTTTCCCAGTGTGCAGTGGGGAGGAGTGACGCAAAATGCTGCGCGACTGCAGCGCCTCGATCATCATCACCCGCTGCCCTTGCTGCCCCGCTACTGTTGAGAACGGGCGCCGCCACCGCAAGATCATCCGGCGGGAGAGGAAGCGGCGGCACGGTTCTGGTGGCCCGTCGCGCGGCCCTGCGAGGTGCCCACCGGGGCCATGGCGGAGCCGGGCGGGACATCGTCAGGTACGGGCGGAGCCGGCGGGAGCTCCGCGGGGTCCGGCGGGACCGACCCAGCATCGTTGCCCCCTGGCGACGCGCAACTCATCGGGCTGATCGTGGGGCAGCTCAAGAGCCGCGGCCTCTTCGACGCCTTCCGCAGAGACTGCCTGGCCGACGTCGACACCAAGGTAGCGCCTCTCTCCGCCTGTGCCACCCGAGGCCTGCCATCCATCCTGGAGAGAGCTTGATCCTGTAGGGTCTTGAGCAGGCGCTCACACAGGCCGCGACGGACCGGCTCGCAGCCTACCCGCATCTCCCGTTACCGCCTTCCCCAGCCTGGTGCCTCTCGGTGCTGTTGGCCTGGGAGTTTCAAGCCAAGAACGGTGAAAGCTGCGATCCAGCTCATTTGATGGGCATCAGGCTGAGGAAGCCTGCCCCGCCTGTATTTTAGATCTGAATATGTGTTTGCTTTTGTGGTGCCCTACATCCCATGCAAAACGATCTGTTCCCTCCCTCTTTCACAAGAACCAAACCACTCCATCATCTGCATGTTTTCTTGCAGGTAAATTTCACCGCAGTCAGGAATAGGTATGCAGCTAATACAGCCCATTTAATTTTGTTTAAAGGAATAGGAGATGGGGCATGTTAAATTTTAGGAATTACTTTTCTTGTGCAATCCATCATACATTCCAAGGTAATGAAAACACATAGGTATGGAATCTCCCTGATGCCCAGGCATACTCTCACAGAGCATTCGCATCTTTAATTCTTTGTAGCAGCCTTTTCCGCACTTTTCCAATTTTTGCTAAAGTCTGAACTGATTGTTTAACAGACGCGTCCACTGCTCTCACTCTGTGAGCACACATCTTCTATCTGATTGCTTAGCTTCCCTCTCTGACTATATTTTTCCCTCCTGCCCTCTTTGTCACCTTTTGGGCTCCCTTTACCCTTGTGAAGTTAAGTCTCAAGCTACAGATTCCCCACCCATTGCCTATAAACATATAATGCGTAACTACGGCTTGTCGACTTAGCAAAGAGTGACTGGGAGCTTTGCCTAACATCATTATCCTTAGATGGTCGATCCATCACAACTTTGTTCAAGGACTTGATCTCGAAGTTTTTAGCTTCCTCCCTAGGAAATCCAGGGAAGCCTTTCAACATGCTGAAGCATGGCCTTAGTTTCCCTTAGTGCTAAGCAGTGTGTAGCAACCAGTGGATTAGAGCTGTAATAACCTTATTCAATGTACAGTTCATTTTTGGCTCACTGGGAGTCTAATAATTCTGATTTACAAACAGCACTTACACACACTTTCCTGATTATGAGATAGGGGGCAATGGTTTAATACACCATATCTTTGTGGCCAGTCACATGGGAGGTGGATATATGCAGGCATGAGCTTGGTTCTCAGTCCAGAAAACCTACTGGACTTATCACTGGGGAAGGGCTGTAGTTCAGTGGCAGAGCTATTGGTTTGTATGCAGAAGGACCAAGACTTAATTCCCTAGTAACTCCAATAGAGCTGCAAAAATAGAGCTACATGAAACAGAGGCACTGCTAGTCAGTGTTAACAATACTGAACTAGAAGGACCACTGGTTTGTCTTTGTATAAGGCAGCTTCCTATACTGCATCTGAATGTGCCATTATCTTTTGCTGTCATCTTATTAAAATAACTAGTAATACAGGAGACCTTGGTTCCAAAGGCCTCCGACTGGGTCTAAATAGACATTCCCAAAAGCATTTATCAAAGGCAGTTTATTCAGTAGGACAACTTTCTCATTAAATCCCTATGCTAGCTTCCTGCTCACTTCCAGATCTTGCATAACCTCCCTGTTTTTGACCATACAAGCCCTCCATAGCTTTGCTTGCTCTTAAATCTTGATATATCTCCATCTTTGAACTTAGCTCTTCCAGTTCCATCCTGTCCCTGCAAAACCTGCTTCCCTTTCTCTCTTGCTACTTTCTGTGCTTGGAACTGCCTCCCAGAGCATGTGTGTGATGCCATATTTCTATTTCATTCAGTTTGTCCTCAAAAACTACCTTGTCCTTGAAACCTGTGGTTACGTTTAGCCTGAGCATGTTTCACGGGAACATCAGCAGGCTGAGGCCATTTATCCCTGCCTTCAGCTCCCCTCCCTCTACCTCCATTGCTCCTGTATTGCATTTTTGATTGTCATTTTCTTGAGATAGGCAATTCTTCTATTCCATGAAGCACTATGTGTCCTGATACTGCTGTAAATAATATTTTATCGTCTGTGTTTCCAGAACTCTAGTGATGGCAAAGTCAGCTTAAATATTTTGCCAGGAGATGACATCTTTATTACTTAATATATATATCTAGTTTGAACATAAGTTTTAAAATAGTCTAACAGAACAGTCCTAGGTTTCAGTGGTTTCTTTTCACTAAAGAAAGTTAGGGTGCATGACAGTTATTTCTCTTGATGTCCCTGGTATAAGATAGTTCTGTTGGCCACCTTTATATCTCTAATACCAGCTGTGTATATTTCAATACTTTTATATGCCGTCATTTCTAGAATATAGATATTTTCCTTGGAACAACAGTGAACAGCTAAGGCTGCCATCTTTTGAGGCAGTTCCATAGAACTCAGTATAACTTACTTTTGGGTAGACTTGCATAGGATTGCATTGTAAAAATCTCTTTCAACAAGGAGAGCCTATAATTTTAATTTGTCAATCGTCTCCTGCTTTTAATTTATAATTCGCCCCACAAACACACACAGCTTTTCATCAGGAGCTGTCAGTATTCTTTTGATTTTAGGCAAGAAAACATTAGAAGGTGTCCAAAATTAATTTGATCTTTGTGTGTATTAGAGCTTGCACATGTTCTTTGGAGGTAACTTGCAAGTATTGATAAAAAGAAAAGAACTGGTTAGGGACTTCTTTCTCTTCAAGAAAGAAACCCTAGAGAAACCCTGTTGCCATCCTTTGATAAAACCAGTCAATCACTTACTATGCTATGTAAGTCAGACATTAAGCAGAGGTGGGAAGCCATGGACTTCTGGGTGTCGTTAGATCTCAACTCACACCATTCCTAAATTAATTTGTGCTGGCTGTAGCTGATAGGAGTTGAAGTTCAACCATTTCTGGAAGAACACTGGATTTCCACCTCTTCATGTAATATTTCCTTGATATTTAGACCTCTGAAAACCACTGCCTTATAGAATTGAAGCCATTTGCTTTCTTCTTGCTCTAAAAGCACAATCCTATGCCTATTTAGACAGAAAAAAAACCTTGAAACTTCCAGCATTTTCTCAGCATGGCTGCTTTGGCCATGCTGGCAATCTAGGACTTTTCTCTCTCTCAATATGCATAGGATTGCACCCAGAGGAAGGGATCCTGTGACCCCTAGACAAGGTCTAAGGGTTATAGGACGATTTTGGATTCCTAGATCTGGGACTGGAGATAGTGCTCTAACCCAGAAACTGGGAATTGGAACTCCACCCCCTTGTACCACCCGCTCCCTTGTACCCATCATAGAAAGAACTGTGCTGGCTGATCTCCAGAGTTAGGAAAGGGGCTGTTCCCGTGGGCAGGGATAAGAAGACAAGTTACTGTCCTGATGCTTCCCCAGTCTTTCCCTCTCCATCTCTTTAGATGGGCAAAAAAGCCTGTCAAGCAAAAATACAAGGTGGCAGTAGAGGAGAGAAAAGCTGGCCTCCACCTCTCCTCTCACCCTGCATGAGGAGAGTGTAAACCGCCAAGCCCGGGGGCTTAAAGATCCTTACAGTAGTATTGTGCCTTAAATCTTTTCCGGCAACCACACCCAGTCATGTGCCACTCCGAGGCTGAAATAGTCTGGTACACTCTTTGGAGTTATGGCACCCTGCTGTCCTTTTCCTGCCTGTGCTTCAGTTCAGCATACAAGATCCAGTTGTATCCGTCAGAATCACTGGGGAAGCTTGCCTTCGCTGAAATTCCTGCCGGAACGGGGTTTGCATGCTATCAAAAGCATATTCTTCAGGCATAAGTCTTTGGTGTAGTGGCTGTAAAGCATTGGCTCAGATTTTCCAATTGCAGTATGCTTGCATATTTCTGTGGCATGTAGTTTACCCTTATCTGTTCAAACAGTTCTCAGTGAAAATGAAGCAAACCTTATCCAAGGTCTAATGGTAGGGCAGAAAGCTACATTTCAGGGAGATGTCATGGGGATGGGGGTTGTTGATTTTGTTTTTCTTGCCAGAAACCCTTCAGTCCTGTATTAATTGGGCTATTTTGTTTAGCCAGCCTACCAGAATTTGAGGCAGAAAGTGGACAACTTTGTGTCTACCCACCTGGATAAGCAGGAATGGAACCCGACAATGAACAAAAACCAGCTGCGGAATGGCCTCAGGCAGAGTGTGATTCAGTAAGTGGAAGCTGCTGGCATTAAGGTGGCCGGAATGAATCATTTGGGAACCCTTTGGGGTAAATTATAGGTCTGCACAGCACGCACCCATACATTTTGAGGGTGTTGGTGTAAGCAAGATTCCTGGTGGGTTGTGGCCTGCCGCTGACTGAAGAGTGCCTTCCGGTCCAATTGCTGATCCCCACGGCAGCCCTGTTTACTTGCTCTGTTTGCCTGCACAACTAGAATTGTGGGTGGAGGCAGGCCAGCTGTCCCCGTTCCCTCCCTTGCATCCCTCTGCTCAGCCATAGTGGAAGTGGGAGGAGGCCTCTGTTCACAGAGGCTCCCGGCATTTTGTGGGGACTCACTGAAGTTCAGCAGCTTCTCTGCTGTAAACATTTATAACGAATACGGAGGGCGGCTGTGGACATGATGGCTGGCTGGCACTTCCCTGCTCTTCCTCGGGGAATTCTAGTCACATGGGAGATTTGAAAAACCTCGTTGGGCTCGTGTTGCTGCCAGAATGGACTTGTGGCCACCTGACAGAGGGCTGTGGGCAACCCAGTTTTTGGAGGGAGGGAAGGGGATTTTGTGTATTTGAAACATCTGGGGGTTATTTGTCTTTACCCGCTTCCAACATTATGTACAATGGAGTGATGAGTTTAATGTTGGAGGGGCGGGTCTTTTTGTCCAGCAGAGTGCAGTGATGGCCCAGTTTTCTGTGCTTGGTCGCTTGAGCTGCTGCTGCTGCAGCTAATCCAGTTCACTCAGCACAAGCATGTGCTCTTTGCAAATGTGTAGAGGTCATTCCTAATGTTGTTGGAAGGCCAGTCTCCTTTGGCTGTGTACCCGATTTTATAAAATTAATTGGACTTTCAAGGCTTTTGGTTCCTGTGGTTTTCTATTTTTGCGTGGACATAGTATTTATATATTTATTGAATTTTTGAATTGCCCAATAAGCAAAGCTCTTTGGTGGTTGTACAAATTACAAATATAAAATTCAAAAGACTTTAAAAACAGAGCAGCACTGTGAAAAGCCCTCTCTTACACCAAAGGGTATAGTTAAATAGTACGAAAGCCTGGCAAAATAAGAATGTCATATTCATTACCCCAAAGGCTGAATGAGAGAGACAGCTAACTGAGCTTCCAGAGAAATGGCATTCTACAGTCTTGGTACCATTACCAGAAAGGCCCTGCCCCTGCCCAGGGTTTCTGAAACAAAGAGTCATAAAGTGAGTCTTTGCAACTGTAAAGAACAGGCAGACTCTCATGACAGAAGACAGCTCACAACCAGATTGGCAGCCAGCAGAGCTCACAATGCTGGAGTAACAACTTCAGTGAAATGGATCCCAGCCAGCACCCTGCCCGCTGCAACTTTCACTAGCTGAACTGTTTCCAAGCTCGTTTTAAGTGCAGAACGTGTGGAGCGTGTTGCAGTCATCCAACCTGCAAGAGACTAAGGCATATGTGACTAAGGCTAGAATGGTTCTCTCCACCCCAGAAGAGCGGCACACTAGCTGAGGCTGCGCAAAGACACTCCAGGCCACAGCAAGCACTGGCCCATCTCGGAGCAAAGCTGGGTCAAGAACCCCCTCCGGACTCTGCAGCAAAGTGCACCCCACCCAGACTAGCTGAGCCTTAAGTTAGCTTTCTACTGATTAGCAGCAATTCCAGACTGTCCAAGCCATGATGCAGGACTTCTGCAGCCTCTTCAGCAAGAGAGGTGGGTGCCACCTGCTTATTGGTGACACCAGCCCCTGTGTTCCTTGATCATTTCCCCCCAGTGCTTGCATGTAGGCATTAAATCAGCATGAGGGATAAGGTAGAGCCTTGTGGGGGTCAAGCGGCAGTCTGCCAGCACCACCTTCCGGGGCCTGCCCTCTGGACAGGGCGCGGGCCATTGCATAGCTTCCCCTTACATGGCAGCTAAACCGAGAGCAGCCAGAGGGGACGAGTGGGTCGGGCAACTTGGATGCCTGAGGAGGAGAACGCTTCTAGGTTCAGACGGGTCATACTCTCTTCCAGTTATTTGTCTTCATAGAGAAGTGTGTGATTTTTCTTGTGCTCAAAGTGATTGGCAAAAAATATACCATTAAATTTGCAAATCAAAACCGATGACAACATAATTGAGCAAAATATTACTCCCTCTCCCAAATTCTGAGTCTTGTAGCCGTCTCTTCACTGCCCAAGGCCCTACAAAATGGATGAGAATTGCAGTCCCTCTGGGATGTCATCAGGACCATCTCGTACCTCACATCCCAGAACCTCCAGATGAGCGCAGTGAAGACAAGTGCCCCCTGCATAGTCACCCGTAACTTCCTTGTGTGGCATCAGCTGGGAGTGTTGTCCATACCTGTGGGCTGCAAATGTGCTGGCTTATTCCTACATGATTAGGATTAGGAAACACGGGCAGGAAGGTGTTCCTGCACTCCTGTCCTACCTGTCATTTCCCCGGGTGGCTGGCTGGCTGGCTGGCTGCTGTGTGGACAGCATGCAAGACGAGGGGGAGCTTTGGCCTGATCCTGCAGGGCTGCTCTTACCTTCTTACACAGCCGAGTAGGGTTTAGCCCCCTAGTGGCTGCAGCACATGCTGACTGTCAAGCCTGTTTCCTGTTTGGAGTGCTGGTGGCCAGAAGTTTACCATTAAGACGCTCCAGGACACATTTGTATGCCAACTTCCAGTGCTCACATGTTCATAATCTAAATTGGGGTTGCTCCAAGAGATAGCCAGATTCAGGTGGGATGCTGAGAGGGCTTGTGCCTTGGTGCATCAGCTGCAGCGAGTGGCTTCCCCGCAAGCAGCCAGCGACGGGCAGGCGCCCACCTGTCCTGAGCTTGCCGACCTCTCGGCTTGCTCCCTGTGGGAGCTCTCAGCGCTGACGGCACCCGCGCGCTCCTGATCCCCTTCCTTTTCTCCCTTGTTTGCTTTTCGTGGTCTTGTGGGTGCGCACACTGGCACCGCTCAAATGTGCAAGGAGGCCCCTGCCCTGTGGGTGCTTCTGCCTGATTGGGGCTGAATCCTGCAATGATGGCAGGACTAAATCGCTGGTTCACATGGCATGCAGCTGCCATTTCGGCGTAGGGCATGAGCTACGGGTGTTGGAAGGGCATCGGAGCAGATCTGACCACTGAGCTTGTGCCAGCTCCGACTGGCCCTTCTGAAGCCTCCTTGGGCCCAGGTGCCCCACAGGCCTCATCTTCTGCCGTGCCCGCACAGCTTCCAGACCATGTGTGCCGCTCGTTTTCTGCCCAGGCAGGGTCACGTTCTGCTTGCAGCTGGTCTCCCAAATGCTGGGCAGTGTCTCCGTGTTTACCTCCCCTGGCTGGTTGCAGACATGACTTAACCCCACCAGACAGCCGATGCCCCGCTCTCTCGATCCAGTGCAGCCTTGGAGCAGTAAGTCACATCATGGGCCTTGACACTCCGTTCCCAAAAGAGTGCTTTGGTCGTGTGCCGCTCATGTTTGTTTTTGTTTGTCTTGTAAAAACAACGTGCCCCTGTGTCTAGACTGGCAGATGCGGGTCCTGAGGTGAAGGCCGCCTTTCCGCTTTCTCACTGCGAGTGTACCAGCCAAAAAGATCGCCTCTCTGTTCCTTCCACCGATGTGCGTGTTTTTCCCCCTGTTTGTGCCAAGGCACATTTTATTTGTTGCTTTGTGTGTCACAAACGCTCTGCCACTGCGCTTGCCTTGTCTCCCTTTTAAGGGATCGGGTGGCCAGATGTCTGCTGTCAGAGTCTTCAGGGGCCCTGCAAGGTGGTAGGTTCACAGCCTCCCCGTTTTCTTTGCGATGGGTGGAATACCTTCCCAGCCCAAAGCTACCCAAGAGAGCTAGCTGTCATTCGCATTGCGTTAATGCTAATTGCAGCTGACATGGCTCTGGAGAGCTCCCTGTGGGGGTGGGAAGGGAGGGGTGGGTTGGAGAAGCTGAATGGCTCTTTTGTCTCTTCCCCAGGTCAGGGATGCTGGAAGCTGGAGTGGACAGAATTATTTCTCAGGTGGTGGATCCAAAACTGAACCACATCTTCAGGCCACAGATAGAGAAGGCAATTCATGATTTCCTGGCTGCACAGAAGAAAGAAGACTCGGTGCCAGCTCCTCCCCCGGAGCCCGAGAGCCAGGACCCACCTGCTCCATCACAAGATGCCTCGTAAGGTCTGGTATGGCTGTACCCTCCACCCTCGCTCTCCCCTTGTGCCGGTAGCTGGTAACTCTTTTATGTCATCACTTATGCAAGAAATGTAGATTACACCCGCTAGAAGGCCAGAACATCGGATTCAATGGGATTTGGGTGAGTGCCCAAATTGCTGCCAGAGGAAAAGTACAAGCTGTGATCTTGAGAATGTGAAGGGCTCTGTACCCAAGGGCCTCTGCCATTAGAAGCCCAGCTGCTTTTTGCTTGGCTTTCTTCATTGACAGCAGATCCGCTCTTAAGTAGGCCAGGACACTGGTTTGATGAGCGAGAACTGCCTTAAGTGCAAAAGAGCAAACAAGTTGGGAAAGATCCTAGCCCGGAAGAGCTGTAAGGAGCGGCTGGCTCTGCACTCTGCAAAAGGGGGGCAAAGAGGTCTCTGCCAAATGTGGGGAACTCCGCAGAAAGGTGCTGCTTCCCCAAAATGGCCTTCCCAATGTGTTGGACTGTGACTCCCATTATGCCTGCCTGGGAATCAAAGGGACTGTAGTGCAACACATCAGGAAGGCTGTATGGGAAACAGGCAGCAACCTATGTGACAAATGGTACAGGATGGTAACTTCCTTTTATTCCAAGATCCTGCACTTCTCAGCATCCTGCGAGAACTAGGGGGGATTTTTCCCCCAATTTCTGGACTAGTAAATCATGACCAGCACCGTCCATGTTCTGCCTGACAAAACTCAACACCCTGCATCGGTGGACTGTACTCTGCATTGTATTGCTTGGCATCCCTACTTGGTCTTGCTAAGGATTCCGGTACTGTGTGCCATCCCAGCCTCTCAGGTGCTCACACCTGAAGCCCAACACAATGCAAGGCATGGACCTGGCAACCTACCCTCTGTTGTAGATTCCCTTTCCCATTCTCGCAGGCGGCCGGTGGGCTGTTTGGCTCCATATAAAAACGGGACGCTGCCCCCTTGTGCAAGAGTCCAGAGACTGCAAGAGAAGTGCAGAAGCTTATCTTTGATATTGTGCTTGCCTTCAGGGCAGGGCAGAGCAAGTTCCTACCCTCTTCTAGGCTTGGAAGTTGAAGGGGAACCCCTAAACATCCCTCTGTGCACTGAAGGCTGTCTGTAGCAGGAAGTCTTGCTACTTCCAGGTGTCTCTGAAGCTCAGCATGGTGGCCGAGCTTCCACCCTCAGTGACAACCACAAATTTGGACTTGTTAGCAATAAGAGATGCAGTTTGTGAATCCTTGCCTGCCATGCGGTACTGGGAGCCCATCGAGCCCCATTGGTGTTGCATAGGACTGAACGGTTGACAAACACAACAGCTAGGCTTAAGCTGGATCCAAGGCTTTCCCCTTCCCTCTCTGTGTCCTGCACGCCAGTGGCTACTGGCCTGCATAATGTGGCTCTGCTGCATTTTTTAGCCTCTGGTTGTTATCATCGCTAGAAATTCTCAAAAGGTGGAAAGCTCATGAAGTCAATGTAAATCAGTTTGTAATCTGCAGGCAGCATTGACATTAAGTCTGATCTTTCTCTTTTTTCTTTTTGCAGTGCATTTCTGGCTCTAGAGTGGCTATCGCTGCAAAATCCAAGCTGAATCTGATTGGCAGTGGGCTACCTACTGCAGGCATGCAGTTTGGTAGCTAATGCCAAGCACCACTGAGGGCGAGTGTTGGCAAGAGTCACAAGGGGGTTCTCCAGGGCATGGAGGGGCAGGCTGAACTGTGCTGAGGTCATTGCTCTGGGCAGAAGAAGCATCTCTTCTTGCGAATTGTCTTTGGGGGTGGGTTGCCTCTCGTGAGTGACCACGATGAGGGAAGGGGGTTCTGGTGTGATCCTTGTGAAACTGGTGATGTTTGCGATGTAGTGGTAGAAGAAAGAGCATTTGGGGTACGGTTGTTTTTCTGGGTGGCCACTGTCTCGGTCGGAAAGCCTTTAGAGAGGTCTGGGCAAGGGAGCCTTCAGCATACAAACGGGAAGCCGATCGTTTGCCGGCAGAGGATCACAGAGCATTAGAAGCTGGCCCGAATGCAGCAATAACTCTTGCACAGCGTCTGTCCAACATCATGGCAAGAACCGTTCACCGTCGGCTTTGCAGGAGTATTGAGAGACTGACCTCTGTTGGATTTCTGGAAATGGCGTCTGATACACCTCCCGGCCTGTCACACGTCCCAGGCGGATGGAGGAAGCAGGTGCAAAGCAGGAGACTTCTTCTATGGACCTTGCAATTGAAGGACATCTTCTTGTCAGGGAGATTTTCAGGTGCCTGTTAGAAGTAGCTTAGGGACTCTCCCAAGCTCTCAAATAGACATTTGTGCTCCAGGATTTGGCTACAAATCTCCAGACTTTTTAAAATAATAAAAATATTGGAAAAGCCTTAGTGGTGTGATAACGTTCCCTGTAACACAGCTATTCCGATTCCAGTGTGTGCACATGGAAAGGAACTATCCATTCCCAGTTTCTTAGGGCAGAAAGCTTCACGGATCAGGCTCTTGAGAAATGCAATTCTCTTCTGGTCCTCTCGTGCCTCTTTAAAGTTGTCCCTTCCCCCTGCTTCTAGTTCTGTGCTCTTGGCATTGCCCTGCAGAGAAAGCGACATTGGTATTCCCAACAGGGTTACGGCTGCAGAATGGATATTACTCGTACCGAGCACAGGAGAAGTGGGGCTGCAAAGGCCCTTTGCCCTCCCCTTCCTCCTAACTGTTTGCTGCCACACTCTTGCTACTGCCTCTTCTCCCTGCCCCCACAGTCAGTGGGGGAGGCCCATGGGAAGGAAGCCATGATGCAGGTACATTCATGAGCACATGAGAGGAGGACAGGCAGGTGCTGCTGAGGTGGCGGAAGAAGCAAGTGGCCAAGGAAAGGAAAGGTGAGCAAGAGGAGAGCAGGGCTGCACAAAAGGGGAGGAGGAATCGGATGACATGGGAAGAAAATCTCAAATGAGATGGAAGGGTGTTAGAATCTGCAGTGGGGGAAGGACAGAAGAAAGAGAATCCAAGGAAAAGGGGGAACTAATTGGGGGCACAGAGGACAGACTCCCAGGCCAGGAAAAAATGGTGCATGTACCTGCAGGCCCAGGAAGTTCTCCTGCCCTGGCCTGTTAGAATTTTCTGAGGTTCTGTTCAGATGTCACACCTGGTTTGGCTGTACTTGGAAAAACCTGGAATAAGAATTGAGCTAAGCCCTCCCTGACTGGCTGTAAACTCTGCTGTACCTTTGCATCCAAAGGGACAAACAGTGGTTTCTGCTTACCAGCTATCTTTAGCTATTAATCATGTTGTTTTCTGGACTGTCCTCTGCTAAAATTCTATATATCTTTTTTCCATTTACTGCATTTCTAAACTTAATAACTGAAGCTGCCTCTGTGGTTTAGATAGATTTTTTAAAATGTTATAGAAATCATATACATATAGACAACACATAGACACACACATCTATCTAAAAACAATTGTAAACAACAAAAATTCCGGGCCTGGTTAAAGACCACATATGCTGCAAAACATCTGAGAAAAGACCTAGTCCGCAAAAGAACAGTGTTAGCAGGAAATGAACCTTACCAGAAAGGTTATTTCATAACTGAGGGGCCACCAAGAAGAAGGCCCTATCCCTTGTTGTCAAGGGACACCTTAGGTGAGGAATGCAGTGTAAAGTAGGTTCGTGCTGGGGGAGGCACTCTCATAGCTGTCCCAAGCCACACATGATTTTATAATTCAAAGCCAGCAACCTGAATCAAGATCAGAAGCATGCAGGTTGGTATATTAAGTCCAGAATTTCTGGTCACTGTAATCTTGCCACTGACTTTTGCCCAAGCTCCTGCTTCTGAGCCATCTTCCAAAGCAGCCTCACACAGCATGCACCGCAGCAACCCAGCTTGGAAGTTACCAGAGTGTGGACAACCCAAGGCGGGTTGTCCCTGTCCGGAGAGGGGCTTAACAAAGCCACCAAATGAAGTTGTAGAAGCAACTCTGAGCAGCATCAGAGAACAATTTTTTTCTCTGGGTTGTTGCTTAAACATATCAGAGGAACTATGACTGTGCATTGTTAGGTACTGCTGAGAAGACACACGGGCTGAAATACATTTGTTCATCTAACATAATTTTAATGGATTCATAGAATCGTGGAATAGTAGAGTCGGAAGGGGCCAAGACCACTGGCTCCAGTCCCCTGCTAGTGCAGGATGCCAAGTCACACCATCCCACCCAGCTGACTGTCCAGTGTCTTGCTGAATGTCTCAAGTGTGGGAGAGCCCATGACCTCTCAGGGCAACTGGTTCCACAGTCGTATTGCTGATAGTGAGGAAACTTTTCCTGAAGTCTCCTATGTGTTAAAATTTGCATATCAATATTTTGCATTACTCTTCTCATATTCCTATTTTTCATTTCATGACGGTTTCCCTTAATCTTTTTGTTCATTTGCCGACGCAGGTTGAGATGGCCATTCGTTTCTCTCCGGTGCTTGCTCTACAAACTAGATTTGGTGGCTCAGGTGCAGAGGCAAACTGGCAGAAGTGCAGAGCCTGAAATGCCCATGGAATTTTGCCACGTTATACATATAAAATGTAGCATTTTAACCCTGGCCATAGATTCAGCTGCAGAATAGAAGTGTAGCATTTTACTCATTTAAAACTGCCCCAAATATTATTTCACTGTTGTCCAGGTGGGATACGAATGGACTTTGCCAGATTCAAATCTCTGCTAAGGCAGCTCTGAATTTTACAGTCCATAAAACTGATCTCTGCTGAACAACGCAGCTGTACAATTAAGTTCTGTGTGCTCTTGGCCAACTCTTGCCAAGTTGCAAAATGTCTGGTAATCCGCCAACCTCTTTTCCTTGGCCTCAAGTTCTGAATACTTGAATCCTGAAGCTTAGCCTCTTTCCCATCTCTCCCAAGCCTTTTCCTCACTCCCCATGGGTGGTGACCCTTCCATCTCATTTTGCTTCTCGCTTCTCCATAGCCCATAACCTTTGGCCATCCTATACAGAAAGCTACTGCCTCTCATTAGCAAGCTGCTTCCCATACTGAACGTGGCGGTGCTTCTCTTATTAAAGTGGTGCAGCAAAGTTTTGAAGCATGCTAGGAAGAGGGATGCAGCTGATGAGCTCACACAGTCTCCTGATGTTCGTCTACTGCTACCTTGGCTTTGCGCCTCGACTTCTGAGCATGTGCAGATGCTGTTGATGGATGTACATATCTTAGAAGGGCCCTCAAGATATTGGCTATTGACATGCAAGCTATTGTTACTTCAGTGAAGGGGGAGGGTTGGCATTTGGCTTTATTTAGATACTGTTTTGGTGAAAATCACAATAAAAATAGAAGATGTTGGACTGTAACTCCTGTCATCTCGCACCACTGGCCCTGTTGACTAGTGCTGATGTGAGATGTAGTCCCCCAACAGCAGGAAAGCCACATGATGCGTAGCCCTAGCTTAAGATAGGGAAGAAAACCCAAGCAAGGTCATAGGAAGATGTCTTTGATCAAGTGGGACCACTGGCCAGTACAGCTCAGAATTGTGCTCATTGACTGGCAGAGTTTGTCCAGGGTTTCAGGTGGAAAAGGTGCCAGGAGGTGCCTTGTTAACCACTGAGGGACACCCAAACATTTTGGAAGTATTTTTCACCTCTTAATGAAAAGATGAGATCATCTAAAACTTCTGACACTGCATTTCTCTCTCAGGAACTGTGAATAAGGGCTTTTAGGGCTGGAAGAGAAGTAACCAAAGCAGTTATCTCTCATGACCTCCCACCTCTTGCACATCTGAACTGCTGAATGTAGGCCAGCTATCCTTAATTGTCATTTCACGCTATGCATTGAAAGAAGAGCGTGGGGGGGGGGGGTCATATATTATCTTGCTAAATGCAGTAAAGGAATTTATGCTTTATGCTTGCTAAGATTTTAATAACCATGTCGGTCTGACTCTTAACTCAGTTGTTCCTATCAGAAACATCACACTGAACATTTCTGCATGTACAGCATGGTCCGTGTTTGCAAGGAATAAGCATGCAGTGTAAATGACAGTGGCAAGTGTGCATCTTTGTACACCGTGTGTCCTTTTCTGGGGTCACTAGCTACACATTATTACAGACCAACTAAACTCCACCTACAGTGGTGTCTCTAGGAACAGGTCTACTGTCTTCTGAGCTGAATCCAACTTATCCACATTGCATGAGAACTGGATTAATGCAAGAACTGAATTGCTTGGGGCTTAATCCAAGGCGAGCAATTCCTGTCTGGTGCCCCTCGATGCCTCTCTTGGCCTTGCTTCTCCTCTCCTCTGTGGGTTCTCAGCTCTTGGTCCGCCTCGCACTGTGTGGGTCGCTCAAGTGCAGCCTTGATGTTTACAGGATATTCATGGGGTGTGTTCATGGGGAAGCTGTCTATAACTGTAAATGTTACTTAGCAGTGCCAGTGTAAACAAACTGTAAGACACAACCAAAGAAAATAACACTACTCCTGTCTGGGTAAGGTGGTAATAATTTGCCAACACGAGTTATCTGGGTAACATATAGGTTGATCTTCAGATAGACACAGAAATATATAGGAGGCCTCATAATGTGTATGAATAGTATGCTTTTAATTTGTTTGCTTGTTTGATGGTTCTAGGAATAAAATGGTGCTGAAGCAGGAATTGTGCTAGCTTGTGCTATAAAAGGGACACAAGTGGAAGAAACTGAACCAGGAGCAGTCTTGGGTAACATGGGATGAACTCTTGTTCTTATGAAAATCCATAGTCTGTCTTTCTGTAAGATTTTGAAGACTGGGAATCCTCCTATTAATGGTAGAGGGGCATGTTTGTGAGTATCCTTTAGGATGTGGAAAGATAATAATCTAAGTATTGTTCTTCATAAATCAAGACTTCTTCTTCTACCTAAACAGCCTTTCTTGTACTTGGATAGCAATGCAGTGGCTACTGCAGAATCATAATGGAAATGTTTCAAGTATTCCTTGCTTAGGAGGTTTAATGAAAACTCCACTTTTAACCACATGCCACTGCAGGGAGCCCCTTTGCCAAATTCCTGTTTGCCAACTGACATGCCGACTGAATCTGAACTCTCTAATGAAAGCATGTTTACTTGGAAGTAAGTCCCACTGATCAGTTGGACTTCCAAGTCAGTGCATTTAGAATTCCCAGCCCTACCTTTGGCCATCCTCACTAGGGCTGATAAGAGTTGAAGTCCAAATATCTGCCGGATACCAGGTTGGAGAATGCTCATTTACATTATATTTCCGGCACAAGTTGCCTGTTCTGTGCACATCTCGGATGTTGTCCTGGATTTTCTTCTTTTTGGCTTGCCATTCAGGAGTGGGAAAAGTTCCTTCCCACTCCCAAAACTTCCTGGGCAGGACTTGCATGGCTGGTTTTCCACAGTGGCCGCCA